AAGTTTTGAATGAATAGGTCTGCTCCAGGCACAGAGATGTCTGGGACACTCAGAGTCTATGCCGGGTGGAGCTCACTCCCCGCGGGGGCAACATGCCCAGGACTGGGCTCTGGTCTGGTGACAAGGACCTTCTAGAAGAGGAAACCTGTGAGTTAAAGTCATAACATCAGAGAACCACCTGAAGCTATGAGTAGCAGAAGCCTACAAAATAAGTTATAAACTTATTCTAAACAGGGTCAGAAACTCTACTTTAAGTTCAGGTTTTTTCACTGTCATCAACTTGATTTATTTTTAAAGTATCTTGGTAATTTCCTTTACGGCCTATAAACTTGGTGGCTGCTCCGACAGGTGGTGAGAAAGGAGGTGCCAACCCTGTGGCTGCAGCTCCCGTTTCCAGATTTCTGCTATTTTGTGGCTGTCCTTACATTTAACACCTAAGTCTGAGGTCAATCAGTACCTTCTCTACTTAGAACAAGGACGGTGTTATCACCGTTAGATTTTAGATCCAGTCTTTTAAACGGAAAGAAAAGAACGCTCGCTTTAGGACCCCGCTGGCACACTTTCTGTTTCCCGTACTCCACTTCTCTCGGTTCATTCCTTTTGCTGAAGAGCTTCCTTAGTTGAGCATGTTCACCAGGGGCTGTGGGTGGACAGTTCACTCACACTCTGCTGAGGCACCTGCGTGAACACTTATGTGTCTGGGTGTAAAACTATGCTTTTCCTGTGGCAGAAACTCCGGGCACTAAGGGCTGCTATCTGACTCCTGCACTTGTTCGGCTGGCCGCTGAGATGGTATGGAGACTGTAACCATCCATCCTTGCGTTTCACCCTGACCAGCCCAGCTTTCAGGTCCCACCAAGTAACACTTCAGAGGAGACACCTGTCAGCCTTGAGCTCAACACTCCTGCTGGGGCAAATCGCACACTAAGTGTTTCCCTCAGTTGCGGGGCTGGGACTCCGTTAGCGAGCCCTAAGCCGCGGCCTGCGCTCTGCAGCCCACCATCAGCAGAAGTGACTACCTCCGTGACTGAGGGAAGTCGCCCCCGGAGGCTCTAATCAGCCGTTCCCAGCCTGACAACGCTGAGAATCAGGGCTGAACCCATGAGCTTTGAAGACGACCTTGCGAGACCATCCTCAGGGTAATGATGAGGTCCCAGGAACATGCAGGGAAAATGAGCCCTTTCTCAAGAATGTCATCAGTTGGTCTTGAACATGTTTGTTTGTTTTTAAAAAAACCACTTAGGAAAAATACCAGCAGGAAACCCAGCAGCATGTTCACCAGTAATTTCTTCTGAGTGGTAAGACTCTGAACAGTTTTCCCTTGTTCTGTAGAGCAGGAAGAAGCCTCTTTTATACACAATTTTCTCACTCCCAACCTTTACACTACCCTGAAATGAGAGCCATAGATATAAAACTTAGCTGAAATCAAAACAACCAACAACATGGACAAACAGGAAAGTGAATTGTAATGTGACACGTTTCACTTCTAAATCCTGGGGCCAGTGATACCAGGAGGCACATGAGGTGCCAGGGGTGTGGCCCTCACGGGCCGTCCTGGAGCAGAGGGTGACTGGGCCTGGAGCACACGCTGTTCGGCCACCACCCACCTGGCCCTGTGTCAGAGGGAAGCAGAACTAGGTCCACTTCCCCTCAAGTTCATGGTAGTTGAACTTTCAGAACCTCCCTCTGCCAAAAAAACTGAGTTTATACATAAAATCAAGTTTGGTTTTGGACTCAGATACCAGAGAGTTGCTCACCCACGACTGTGCAGGACTGTGTCACACGGGACACGAGGACATACGGCACCCCCGCCCGTCACCATGACCCTCACGAGACCCAAGGACTTGACAGCGTCCGCCAGACACGCCCCAGCTGCTCGAGCGCCACTGCCCTGTGCTCCCTAAACTTCCCGTTTCCATGACAACTACCAAGTTCCAGCAGGGCCCAAGCTCATCAGCGTCCCTCCAACAAGGAGACAGGTCACAGCGTAACCCAGCTGACACCTGACGGCAGCGGTGCAGGAGGACAGGAAGGACAGCGGGTCTCGGGGCTGATAATCTTCCTCACCCTTGGATGAGACATCTGAGAAGAGTCCAAACAAGTAAGGTGGACGCCAACTTATTCTATCTTAAAAAGATTCCCGACGGAAGCAGAACTCACTGGCGTCAGGGGACAGTGGGTCCAAAAGTTACAGGGTCCCGAGGGAGCAGATGTGAGCTCTGATGACTAGGTCTCCTTGGCAACGGCACGACCTAAAATTAATCGGATCCTTAAAAGGAAGGTGCCGAGAGAGACGGTTCTAGGATGCTCTGGGCAGCTTGGGGGTGGGAGGCACATGTGACCCTCAGGGGGTGCACGGGGTCACCTCTGGAGGAGACACAGTGCACAGGGTGGAAAGCAGCCCCCACACATGGCTGCAGCTGCTGATTCTCCATGGCGGCCCCCTCCCCCGACGGCTAGGGCCTGATGTGGCGCCATCGTGAGTGCTCTGTCCCCACAAGCATCATGTTATCACACTCCTCAGACTTCCCAGACCCTCTTGATCTGGGGACAAGCTGGCCACCCCCCTTTCTTATCCGGGTGAAGATGGAGCGGCCGAGGAAGACACTTATGTCTCGTTACCCATTCACTCTACCCAAGGAACAGAGGGGCTGGCTGTGGAAAGGACTGTGGTTGTTACATGGATACCGTGAGAAATATTATTTTACTGTCTAAATAATTACTTGCCTCCCGTGTCTTCAAACTGAGCCAACAGCGGCTGTCTCTCGGGGCAGCTCCCCGGGACGTACCTGACCATATTAGGCAGCTGAGCGGAGAGGGAGGCTCACAGCCCTGGGATTTTACCTAAAAGGGCAAGGACTGGGAGGGGACGGAAACCCTCTGGGCACTTCCAGCAAAGAGAGGGCTTCGAAAGGTTATAAAACAAAATGAGAACTCTGCTTGACACAGGAACAACGCCCAGAGGGCACAGCTACGAAAACCAGAGCAACAGGAACAGGGCCATATTTCCTTAGGAGGGCCTGGGGTGGCTGGCAACACCAGGGAACAGGACAGGGTGGGGTGATTCCTAGGTGGAAGACAAACCCGCAGGGACTGTTGGGAGCAGGTGCCCCCAGGGCTCCGAGCGAATGGAAAACACCGGCCCCACGTCTGCCTTCCCACTCATTTCTTTCCCACTCCGGCAGCCCGTTTTAAAACTTACTTCTCAAAACTCACCACGAACATTTTCAGGACACTGACATGTGTCGGAGGAGCCTGAGCTGCCTCTCTGACTCACCAAGTAATCCACTCTGCGGGTAAACTAAAAAGTGACGTCCAGTTACACAATTCTAAGGTCCCCAAAGCCTTACCCTCATCCAGACTTAGGGACCTGTAGACTCGGAAGGTAATTCAGTGGACCTCAAGCACCTCGACTGTTTAAATGTACTAAGTCACGTCCGTGTCACAGCTCTGAGGAGCACCTGACACTATCCCCACTTACACACTTGGGAACAGGGGCCTCGGAGCTAAGTGGGAGGTGCCAGGGCCCAGCCCCCAGCTGCAGCTCAGCACATCCGCTCTTGTGCCTGTCCTACCAGGACGTCATCTGAGACACAGACAGACATAAACAGACCTGACACAACCACAGACTAGGAGTGCAGCTGTGACCTGGAAGTACTTAACCTCTCTGGGCCTCTGTTCTCATCTCTAACAGGAGTCGCTGGACTTCAAGGTCCCTGAGGCGATCCCAGAGGTAAATCTGAGCTAGGAAGACACTCCCTGCTCAGGAGTGGAGATGCTACTGGAAACCGACTCGAGTGTATAACCCACTGAATGAACACAGTGGGAGACTGGGGGAGAGGCGGCTGTGCGCCCTGATGGGTCTGCTTCACCATAGCCCAGGGGCGCAGAGTGGCCATGTCCCTGAACACCTACCCTGTCTGGGCCTTGGTTTCCTTAACTGTAAATGCAGCTCCCGGTCCAAGTTATCTCTAAACTCCCCAAAGCTGGGGGCAAGTGGCTCCACTACTGTGAACTGGGCTCTTCTACAGGCCCTTTAACACAAAGCAAACCGTCTCCTGCTCAGCCTCCCAGGGCCTGTCTCCTGGTTCACCAGCGACAGTGCGCCCTAGTGACGGACCCAGTTACAGGTCAGAACTGCTGCAGAGGAGCAGAGGCGGGAAAACTAACCACAGGAGAGAAAACCCATCACTGAGCAGAAGGCAGGCCGGAGGACAGGAAGGCCCGATGGCCTTACCTGGGCCGCACCTGGGCCTGCGCAGGTGCACCGCACAGAAGACAGACATGCTCCTGAACAGAAACGCACTCTCAGGTATGACTGAATAACCTTCCTCTCACTAGGATTCGGGTTTCGTTTCTTTTTCACTTAGCAAGACAAAGGCCACAGGCAGACTGCAGGCTGTCACATACCTGACATGGACAACCACCAGATGGGCTGTAAATGCACCTGTCAAAGGTGCTGAGACATCGAATGACATACTCACTGCCAGTCTCGCTGTTCATGATTTTCCCATGGGGGCATTTTGACAAAAACAGGCACTATGTTGGCTCAAGCAAAGTCCACCCCTTCTAAGCATCACCCCCAGTGTCCCCGCCACAGAAACACGAGGCTGGTCTGTCCTGTCATGCAGCGGAGAGCAGAGGCAGGGCCCCTGTACCCCTCACCCTTATCTGCATCCAAATGCTGGTGCCATTTCCTAGCAGGAGCACAGACAGACAAAGTGAATTTCAACGCTGCCAACAGATAGCGTCAAAGCCACGGCCCAGGGACCTTATCTCAGGCAAAAGGAGACAGTCCTCAGCTTTGCTCGCCATCGGCAGGAGATGCAGAAAACGGAGGAAGCATTTCAGGCGTTTACAGTGCACCTGGCCAGGCCACGCGGCTCCCAGGAAGCGCATCTCCACGCTCGCCCGCAGCCAGCTCTGCGCGGACCTGCCCCTCCTCCACTGAAACAGTGAGCAGGCCCGAGAGGGACACCCCTGGCTGGCTCGTCACTTACCTGCGACTCTCTCACCTCTTCAGAGCCATCGGCTTCGTCTTCCTGGAAAGAGGAAGAAAAATCAGGGTCAGGGTCACAGCCGCCCCACAGCAGAGGGTCTGCATCGAGGATGCGTCCTGGCCCATCACACAGCCCTGGGGGGGCTGACTACTGCTACAGCTGCGCAGGCAGCTCAGGACGTCCGGCACTCACAGCGCCGGTGGTGCCCCAGCTGGGGGGTGACTCGGACTTTAAGACCGAGTGACCTTCTCTCACCTCTGTCAACAGTTGGTCTACTTGGTCCCACAGCTGTGAACTATTTACCGAGAGCTCGGTCCTAGAAGAGGACACTGTCCTTTCCTGTCCCACCCAATGGCTCGGCTCAGCTACTTTCAGAGGAGTTGCTGGGAACCCGGGTCTGATTGTTAAAATGCCAGTGAGGGAGCTGGGTGAGGGGATGGGGTGTC